CGTCGGCTGGCCCCCCGTGCTCGCTAGATAAAGTGAACCATGAGCCGACGTGCAAGCCACGGTGGAGGGACAGATAATAGCTCGGTGAGCACCATGATGATGATGATGATGACGATGATGATAATGTTTGCAACAGAGAGCCACGAAGCATAGCCAATCCGGTCCCCTAAATGTCAACCTCCCCCCCCCCCACCCCACCCCCTTATCACTTTGACAAAAAAGGCTGCGAGAAAAGGTTAGAGACCAACACACTCGTCTTTTCATCCTTGGATTTAAAAGAATAAAAAGGTGCACGATTTGTGCATCCACACACTCTGCCAGGAGAATTAAAAAATAAGGGGCGTAAGGGGGAAGACGGGGAGATGGATGGAGGGAGGGGCGAGTGTGTTTGTGAGGGGTGATATGATGTGCTAGCTCAGGCGCTTGTTGTGAGATTACAATGACTGTTCTGTTTTTCCTCACACAGCCAGGAGCGACAGGGGCCCCATTCATTTTTCACAGCAAAGAGCGACACATTGAAGGCCAAACATCTCTTTTATTTCCCTGTCTCTTCTGTCTTCCTTCTTTCTTTTCTTTCCGTTTCTGCCTCTCTCTCTCTCTCTCTCTCGCTCTCTCTCTCGTGCGTTTGGTTAACCCAGGGCTGAAGTGCAGCGCAGTGACAGGGGCGTGATGCCTCGATGCTGACACCGCTATGCTGCAGACGGAGGAGGAAAAAAAAAAAGGAAAAGTGATGCCCCTGTGTCAGCTATAGCGGACGCACCCCCCTGTGGTGATGTTTCAGTGCTTTCCATTCCCAAAAAAAAAAAAAAAAAAACAGATGTTTGCAAGGCTGCAAAACCGGCCATTATGTGGGCGACCGGGGGGCATGTTGGCAGCAGTCAGGTCACTTTTGCAGACACGACAGCGCTGCATAAACTTCCTGTATTTTTAACGGCACTGCTGCTGCTCTGCAGGGAGCTGTGACATTATTAGGGTGGACTCCAGAGTAAACAATGCACTCTACTACTCTTGGAAAGCTCCGAGGATAAAGCGCTCATCCACCGCTCCTCCTCCCCGACAATGCAGGTTGGAAGCAGAGGCAGTAATTGCGAGCATCGTAATAGCCTCCCAGCTTCAAAGATGAGCTGGGTGCTTTAGGAATCAGAACGGCTCCAACGTGAAGAGATGGTAAATAACTGGCGCTTTTTCTCAGTCAGCTTCTATCGTCCTTGTTTTTACAGCTTTTATGAACGATAATATCATTTTAATCCATCCACATTTAACTCAGGAAGGTTACATTATAATAAAAAGGGAACTTTGATGATGAGGCAGAAAAAGAGATGTGGTTAAATAGTCACCCTGAGTTTGAACACAAGGGTCTCCATATCAGATATAAAAATCTGATCCATCATGACAAAGCACCAGAATAAAACACTCAACGACAACCATTTTATAATTAACTGTAAAAGTCACTCTCTGAAAACTGTGGAATGAAAAGCTTTTTCAGTATCACAAATCCAGCTTTCCAACGTATTCTTCTTATACTTAAGCACATCTACACGGTTATAATTGTCAAAATACTGAAATCATTTTCTTAAATAAGCTGAAATACATCGGAAACAAAGTTGAAATAACGTATTCTACTCTTTATTTATTTATTTATTTCTCTTGAAAATGTCAACTTTTAGGAGTCCATGTGACACAAACAAGGTGCGATATTAGAAAAAAGTCTGCAGAATTAATCAACCATTCCTCAAAGATGCATGTGTATGGATGTATTGATGTGTATTTGCAGAGGCTCTTCTTTCGATACCTCACTAATGACATTCTTGAAAAAGAAAAGTGTGAATCTTTTAAAACATTTTCCACTATCACCACATAACCTTCAACTTTTTCCCCCCTTAAATCCGTCTGTAGATCCTCAACCACCAAATCCATCCGCATATGCATGTGGCCCACCAGTGACTTTTTTTTTTTTTTCCTAATAGAAAGCCGATCCCTTCCCTTTCCCCGTTGCTTTTCATCCCAACCTGCAGCTAAGAGCCTTATTCATTTTTTTTTTAAATAAGAAGAGAGTCGGCTTGGAGGTAAGAAGAGCGGGAGCTTGAGAGCCTGAGGATGAGCGTACCCAGCAGGAGAGAAAGCACACTCATCTCTTGTCTCTACAGCATCATATGCCAGACGCTAACATCAACCAGCCTTTCCTTGAGCTCGCTCCGAGCCCCGGTATCATGACGGCATGCGGTCGAGTCAAGGGGAGAGGAGAGAGAGAGAGAGAGAGAGAGAGAGAGAGGAGGTCAAGTAGAGAGGGGAGAGAGAGAGATCATCAAGGTTTGACGTCTAGAAGGGTGGATTTGCATGCCGGTGACGATGCTCACTTTCCCAGAGATACGTGGCAAAAGCCTCACAATCTGAAAACTCAGTTCCTCTGTGCTCTACCTATTCAAAGCATCTATTTCTTTTTTAATAGCTATTTTATATTTAATGTCTCTTTTCATTTCCTCTCACAGCAGGTAGTGTTTTCAAATGAATCATGTTTTAATATGCAAAGCCTACATGAATGTATTTAGCTCTTGACAACATTCATTTTCATTGTTTTATTGAGTTAAAGTCACTAAAACGAGGGAGTTTAAAGCTGCTGTTGAGCCCGTCATTGATCACTGATCGTTGCATATTCACTCAAACGTAAAAACTGCATCTTGTTTCATTCATCTAGAATATTTGTTACATGAGACTTCATGCTCAAAAGTACAAAAAAAATGGATTTTCTTCAAGGACCAGAATGTGTGAATATTAATCCTCAACCTGTGGGAATATTTGTTTTCCCCATCCTATCAATCCGTCAGAGCCATCCATCTCTCACAGCGGCTCTCCCTCCGTCACTTCTCGGCTCACTTGACTTGATTTCTCCTCTCTAGATTCGTGTTCAGAGTCAATGTGCGACACAGAGAAGAAAGGACACAACATTTTTTTTTTAAAAGAAAAACCTCCAACAAGAGAGTCGCACACTGAGCGCATTAAAACTGACATGGATGTGTTGGAGCAGTGGCTGTGTTGTGCGGTCAGCAGGGCAAGACTCTCTCTCTTTATATATGTGTGTGTGTGTGTGTGTGTGTGTGTGTGTGTGTGTTTCATGACATCTCTGCCGGCTCAAAAGAAATATAAGAACTAATCTAGGCGAGGCTGAAAAAAAAAGTAGGCTAATGCTGTCTGACTAACCGGCTCTGTGATAACGTGTCATATCTATAGACAGCTACAGGGCTCCGACACAAGCTTGCTGAATCTTAACACTAGGCTGGCTCTTCAGACTGGAGGAGGGAGGGGGGGGCAAAATAATCCACATTTCCATCAGAGGGTCTAATGGAGTCATTAATGCAATACTCTGATTTGGATAAAGAATAGTGACTGAGCGGGGCTGAGTTGGTTCAAACCGGCGATGGATTCACTGCTCGTCATCTTGAGGCTTTAAATGTTATCATTATTTATCTTTCAGTCTTTTGACGAGCTGATTACATGAACTATAAATACTTCTCTGGCAATCTACAAACCCACGTTACAGATGCATCTTTTCTTTTTAAACTTGGTTATTATCTCCTGAAAGTTCCCCCTAAAAAACAGCTGAATAACACACGAGGTGAGGAATCATCGGGACATTCAACTAATCGTCCAACTTCTATTTTTAAATCATTTTTTTTGGGGGGGGGAAACTGATGCTTCCAGAAAGGAGCGTCTTTATTCTGGGACTGGCATGAAGTAACTGGGTTTTGTGAGAATTTGCTGCAACTCGAGACTTTTTACACATGAAGCGTCTGGTGTTGGACGGCGGGGGTCACAAAGTGTTTGGGAGGTCATTTCTAGAAGTCTCTTCCAGCTGGAGGAATAAAGTGGATATAGACAGTTTTGTTCAAGGTCAAGTTTGATTTGTTTTGTGTGTTTTTTTCCAGCTGATTTCTCCTCGTTGTAGTTTGAGTCTAAAAGCGAACAGAGGCGGTGTTTGTTTTCTCTTCAGGTGTTCTATTCAGGTGCTGTCTCCTAAGGGTTTTCCACTCTGAAGGTTTTGGACATGACTGGAACTGAAGCAGCTGGCTTCCCATGATGGAATTCTACTGAATGTAGGAAAGCAGTTGTTCACTTAGATTACATAACAGCTTTAGATTCGCCCAATTAGATGGATTTAGGACGCTTTTTTTTCACCACCTTAAATGAATCTAGAGTCAGATCTTTTTTTTGCGGGTCTCCTCTGAGGGATCTGCATGTCAACCCAAACACACACACACACACACACACACACACACGAGTTCTGGTTTTCCCCTCTGCACGGATTTGAGCCTCAACTGCAATTTGCGGGTTGTGTGTGTGTGTGTGTGTGTGTGTGTGTGTGTGTGTGTGTGTGTGTGTGTGTGTGTGTGTGTGTGTGTGTGTGAAGCGACTTCACAGCCCTGCTGTCTTGCTTCAGGCGGTGAGATAAGGGCTTTGGCTAACGCGCCGCCGGGCTGACAAGACATCACATCTTTCTCTCGTGTTTTTTAATGTACCCACAGCACCGAACCAGCCGCCAACCTGCCGTGCCTTTCTGCTCCATTAATGGCATCCTGGAGCATTGTAATGTTTCCCCCTGTTCCGATTGCTTTTGATGGGTGAAAAAGGGAACAACAACCGGGAGGATTTGTGGAATTAAAAAGACACGGCATGCTCCTGTGATAAAAGTTGTGCTTTGAATTTGCACAAGAGGGTTCACTCAGTAGCATTTCAAATGATTTCACTGCTTCTTGCCTCCCCGGCGGGTTTCCAGTCGACGTGCCGGTGCCGGGGAAGCGCGTCAAGTCACAAGGCACGAAACACAACCAGCCAGTGCCCCGTTACAGGATACTGAATGCACTGACTGTATTCTACCAGCATATTAAAGATTTCTTCCTCTCTTGGCAATGCCACACTAATAGCCACATTCCTTCATAGACACGAACACTAAAAAAAAAAAAAAAAAACACCAGTGTTTGGACTTGTAAGGGTGCGAAACTTACCAGGATGACAGTCGGCCCAGAGAAGCACGCAGGCTGGCAAAACGAAGGAGAAAATCCACCAGCAGCAACAGCACGATTGCAGTAACCTCCACATGGTAGTGTTGTGCGCGTCGACATGCAAAACAATAACCAACAACAACTGTTGAGTTTTCCCCTTTTTTTTGCGGGTGAATCAGCGACGCCTTCGCTGCGTAAAAAGCAGCGCCGGAGACGCAGCGCGGACGGAGAGAACTGGGCACGGTGGAAGGTGAAGGGCGGGAGAGAGAGAGGTGTTTAGAGGTCCAGTCAGAAAGAGTCTTTTCGTCCCAAAATCCCCCCGGTATTCCTGGAGAAGAGCATAACACTGGGATAACGGATGGTGATGGAGGCAGCGAGAGAGAGAGGGGGAGAGAGAGCCGGCTGGAGGGAGACTAGCAGCGATGGTCCACGCAGCGCGTCGTCGCTCCTGCGGCTGCGGCGGCGGCGGTGGAGGCAGCAGCGCTCGTCGGGCACACGGAGAGGGGACAGTCGGTGTTGTCGGTGGAGGTGGTGGAGAGACTCTGGAAGCTTTCCATTCCTCCGTCCGTCCAGGAAGTAGCGTGGGAGCCCAAGTCTGGCAGAGACTTTAAAACAGTCTTGAAGAGAGAGAAAGAGAGAGAGAGAGATGGAGAGAGAGAGGGATGAGAGGAGAGAGAAGGGGGGGGGGGGTCATTCCTCTGGATCCTAGCGCCGGCTGAGAGAACGCACAGTCGCTCTGTTTAATAGCACGCACATGTCCCATAATAATAGGTAATAATAGATCTGCGCTCTGCAGGCGGTGCCGGGGCGTTTTGAATCTGATAATGACCCAAATATAGATCCACATTAGAAAAATCAGCCATTTCTTACCAGTCATTTGTCCGAGAAGGAAACCCTGCCTGGAAGTCTGTTCTGATTTATTAGGTCTATTGAATCAATCATGAGCATCATTTAAGGCAATGCAAGGTGCAGTAGTCTCCACTTAAGGTATCCCAAGTAGACAGCTATGATGATTCATTGCCCAAAGGCAAGAAAAGATGATTGAATAAGAATGATGCATTTATGTCTTAAATACAAGGCTGGTTTAAAAAAAAAAAAAAGAAATTCTGTGACCTTATTGGAATTTTTTTTTTGTTGAGGGGCTTTTTACACAATTTCTAATTAAGAAAATATTAACTGAGGTGAGAAAGGAGCAAAATTGTGTACATCTCTCTCATGCCCTTTTTTCATTCTTCGCAAAACTATAATCCTCAAATTATGGGTGACCAATTTATTGAAGCCGTGTGAAAGTATTCCCAACACTTTTATCATCACAGAGTGCTTTGCCAAACCTTACTGGTGTTTGAGACCCAAAATATATCATCGCCGGAGTTGATACTAGTGCATGTAAGGTATCAGACAGATGCACCTGTTGGTTCATTTTAGACACACAAACTCCATGGGTAGGGTTCGAGAAAATGAAGTTTTCAGTTACACCACTCTTTTAAAAGGTTTCACATGGACAGACTATCTCCAGCATGTTGGGTAAAACGCCTGTAGTTTGGGTTAATCCATCTCCTCTGACTGACTCTCCAAGAACAGAGGCATGGATGGACTTTTTTTTTTTTTTTTTTTTTTACAGGGGGGGGGGCAAACTGGGGGAACCGACTTACGCAGGGGTGACATGAAGTTTGTGTGCATACACAAAGAAATGAATAGCATTGATTTACCCTTTCTATCCCCACTGATCATACTTTACCTACTGAAGTAATCTAAAACAATGTGATATTCCTGTGTATATTTTTCTACTTTAAAAAAAAACTAATAAGCTTAATTCATTGAGTAATTAGAAAAAAAGTTTGCTGGCTGCAAAAGCCCAAAAAAGTTCCATTAACACCCATGTTAAAATGCCTTTTTTAAGCAAAATCAGGCTGGTTCAAAAATGGTTCAGGAGTTTTGTGCATGCTCCTTATGTCGATATCACATGTCACGTGTGCTGTTTAGCTGTGATGTCTTACTGTAGAGATCTCATGCCAGTATCATGATGTAATATGTCACATCACAGAAGTGACATGTGACGTATAGCTATATGTCATACAGCTATACCACAGTTAGCTCTAGGGTACAATAGACACTGGGGAAAATGCATTGTGAGGGCAGCTGCAAGTGCTGCAAACACACTCGATACAGCAAGTATGAAGTAAAGTTAAATACAGATAAAGTTAAATTTACTAAGATCAGACTGCTCCCCTCCCAAGCTTAGCACTAGAGTGTCATGTAGCAGGAAGGTGAAACAGCTGACAAAGGGCTCAGGCTAGGCAACAAAAATCAGATGTTCCCACATGTTACAGAGAATCAGACCTTGCATTGAATTAACTCTGTTTTTCAATCCCGGTCCTGCACAGGGATCCAAGTTGTTTGAGCCTGTTTGAGACGTTTCCCTCTTCCAACACACCTGATTCAAATCAAGAGGTCATTATCAGGCTTCTTGATGACAAGGTGATCATTTGAATCAGGTGTGTGGGAACAGGGAAACATCTCAAACACGCAGGGCAGTGGGTCCCCAGAACCAGGAATGAGGAAAACTAAGCTGTTTTTATTTATTTTTTTAAAACTGGGCCGCCAGTAGCCTAGTGGTTAGTGCGCACGCCCCATGTACAGAGACTGAAGTCCTCCAAGCGTGTGACCTAGGTTCAAACCCGACCTGTGGCTCCTTTCCTGCATGTCTGTTCCCAACTCTCTCTCTCCCCAATTTTCCACTCTATACTGGCCAATCTCTAAGTAAAAGGCACAAAAGACCCCCAAAAATAAACCTTTAACCTCATCATCAATCCTTTTTTTTGGGGGAGATTGGGAAGAAAAAGAAAGCACAGTGAAGGTCAAAGTTCATCTTATTGTGTTTTTTGCTTTGCCTGTATTGTTGGTTATCAAAGCTCATTCAGACAGCTGATTCAAACATAGTCAGAACTCCCTCCTTCCTGGATGTGTCCTCAGCAGGGGGGCGTGTGGCAAAAGCTTGTGAGAGGTCAGAGCACCTGCTTAAGAGCTGCAGGAGCAAACCATTAGAGTCATATGGCGGCTGAGTACAGGCACAAACAATATAAATTAATATTTTAAGTTGAAGTGTTTGTGATTTAATTACAGGGGTTTCTATCAGTGTAAATATTCTGTTTTTTTTAAATCAGATCTCCATATGGTGTTGTTTTTGTGTTAGTATTTGTTATTTGATTATTTGTCTGTGATTCCACTTCCTTGGACTTGTCCACCTAATTAGCGGCAGCAGGAAGCTAGATGCTTTGGGAAAGGTTTTGTGAATTCAGTGTCACAGAGCTATTCTGACCCACACTCCAGTCCAGAGGGTGGCGGTAATGCACCTGCAAGTACTTTGCTAACTGTCATAAAAAAAAAGAAGGAGGAAAGGTTTAAATTTGTTGTAGACCACTGGACTATATCCGAGAATTTAACCGAAAGTGAATCAATTCATTTGAATTACGGCTGAGGGCAGCATTACGCCTTGAAGCGTACAGCCTGCTGGAAATTCATTAGAAGAAGAAGAAGAATGAAAGGTTTCAAGTTGTTAAGGTTGTGTTCTACATTTTACGGCCGTCGGAAGTCTCTCTTCAGGGAAAAGTAAGAAAGAGACCAGTGACAAGTGGTAAGTATCAATGTCAGTGTGCCAGTGTTGACCAATAGGCTCATTAAAGAACTTCAAATTCTTGGCAGGAGTAGAAATAAGCTAAAAATACAAAACAACAAAACCATGTAACATCCAAAAAGCAACATCGTGGATCTGTGAAGATGTTCTAAATCCAACAACAATGTCAGGTTAAATGTATACTTTGCTGAAAAAAAGTTTGTGATTCTGGCTTAGTTTCCTCTTCAACGACAGGAACATGTGTAAACATATCGTGCAGATCATGGATTATATCATCATGCAGTGAAAAACAGTGTTAGTTTAAAACTATATTTTATGTTTGGTTGTTTTTGTCTTTTTAAAGGCTTTATATGTGATTTTTCACACTTAAATATAATAGAAATCAAGTATATCCTCTGAAAATAACTCTGTGAGTCATGACTGTCTACAATGGGTGTAACACCCGAGTCCCACTGTCTGTGATGCTTTCAGAGTTTTCAGAGTCCTATCTTCACTTTGTTTACATCGTTGGGACAGCCGGCTGACTCCTCCCCTCGTGTATAAAAGTTGTTTAATTGAGGGACTAGAGAAAAGAAGAATAACATACTGTACTCACTGCTTAACTGTGTTTCTAGATCACGCTCATTTCAGGTAAATTTACATGCAGTGTGAAGATACCAGCATAATACAGATCGCTAGCATTAGCATGCTAACACAACAATGCAGCGCGAGTTGTTTTGGTTTCATGCTGGTGCTCAAGGGCGACATCTGCTGGATCAAAAAAATCTCATATAAAGCCTTCAATGACAGCCAACAAAAACAGCTCTGAAAGTTTTTTTACAGTATAGTGTACATTTACCCACCACGTTGTTTTTTCTCTCTAAAATAGCTGAACTACATGAAGCAAACTACCCAGCCTGCATTGCTGTAAAGCCTCGTTTCCATCAAAGCACTCCTGTCGTTCTCTCCTGTCTTACTTTAGATAAGTACCATCAACAACCCCATTTCAAAAATACACAACTATCCCTTTAAGAAGGACTTTAAGGAAATATATCAACAAATCTACCATTGCAATAAAATGGATGAATGGATGAATTTATTGTTTCCTATAGAGCGCCACAGGAATGAGTCCTAAAACCCGGACGTGAGTTAGCATTTGAGCGCCATGGGGTCTAAAAGTCAATGGGGATTATGAATGGGTTTGTGGTTAGACGCCTGAAATAAGGTCTGTGGTTAACACAAGCTGAAGAGATGTTGGTGTTTTGTTAGACCACATAAACTACGTTAGGTAATACCTCCACTTGTGAAGTTTGAAGTTTTTACTCGTCTTTAAAAAGGCGGTTGCTAACAAGCGGCTAAATGTGACTACAGTGGTTGTCGGGGACATTAAAGGTCATCACGTCGGACACAGAGGGCGGGAACTCTCTCACTAGTCGGAGATGTCTCCTGTAGGTTTAATCTTTAGGTTGAGGTGAATATTATGTTAGTAAACTATTTATTAAGCTACGTGGATTAGTTTATCGGAGATCGTCTGAAGCATAACGCTAGTGACGTCACAATCATCCCACCGTGGTGTAGTTAGCTTGTAGCATAACGTTAGCTTTTTACTTCTGTCGGCCGCATTAACGCTTCAAACATCATAAAAACGGTGTGAAGATTATCCTGCTGAACAAAACGCCTACGCTTCAGAAACGTGCATTTGCGACAGAGCTTATTTTCTGCAATGATCCAAAATCCAATACAAAAATCCCATAGGTGAAATCTCGTTAGACCCCATGGCGATGCTACTTCCGGGTTGGCCTACAAAAATACGTCATGTGGTTTGTTCTCTATTGGAGTGTCCTAACTACCTGTGAGCGACGCAACAACGCAGCGCGACCTGACACAACGTTTATACCCCGACGCCCCCTTTTCTATTTTCCTCTCTGTCTCTCGCGTAAACGGACGAAGAACGAGTAAGGAGGGGTAGCTCTGGGAAAAAAATAATAATCCGGCTCACTGCGAGTCATTAATGGACAATCCTCTTGAGTGTTGTGATTTGAGTCAGCAGCTCGTCAATACAAAGAAAACCCCACATCCGTTTGTTAACCTTCAATACAAAACCACCAGATACTGTTTGCAAAAGGAAACTGAAATTCACAGCGCAAAAAAAAGTCATATTTAACGGATGAACGAATGAACAAACAGATGAAGTCTTTGCATGTGGCGTGCGTGCGGTAATGGTTGAAAAATAAGAGATTAAAGAAGGATTTTAAGAGTTTTTATGTTAATCCTCAATCATTCAGTGCATCTTGTATGGAAGCATCTCTTCATGGCTTCACTGAATCATCATGTTTCTAAAAACCCAACTGGTGTTGTGTCTGTTGTACAAAAAAGGTCAACACAATGTTTTGGGCTTTTCAAAATAAGAGCTATGGAAACAATAAGGCAGACACATCACAAAGCGCCCAATAAGATCCAGACAACCTTGTTACTAAACGAACAGATTTAGCCACAGCAGGATCTGTCATCATTGTGCTGAAGTAAAAGACACTGAGCCTTCACTTGGGCGTTAATCTGTTTCTGTGTCCTTACTAAGGTTCTGCATTTGCAGTAATGAACAAAAAAAAAGAAATACCAAACACAGTCGACTGCGGAGGAGATGATTCAGACTTGGAATCGGAGAAATCTGACAGCAACTGTAATCAAGGAAGTAAAGTCTCCGGGGTTCATTCAGGGTTCACATCTACATGTACAAACATCTGTGTAAACTACTCAAATAGAGATAAATCGTGTTTTATGCTGCTTTAGTCCTGGTGAGGTAAACCTGAAACTCTTCCATTTCAAAGTACTGAAGTAAAGAGTATTAGTCTCAGATTGACGCTCAGTCTCTGTCAGTTAGCCTGATGGACGAGTTCTGCTGCTCATCAACTGAGACAGAGGAACAGGGCATTAAAAACGGGGCCAAATCCCAAGGCCCCGGAAAGACCACTGGCAATGGCTGTTATCAGCTGCCAATCACACGGTCCAGCCTGTCATTGAGTGAGCTCAAAGTGTGCGTAGGAGTCACTTGTATCTGCAGGGTGAAGGATGTAATGGAGGTTTGTTGTGCCCTGTAGTGTCCTGTGAGAGCCGGCCCACCATGTTCACAAGAGGACCCTTCTGGTTCAGGGATCCCTCACTTTTTTCCTCTGAACAACAAAGCAACTCTCTGTCCTAAACTGAAGCAAATATGTAAATGGTAAATGGACTTGAGCTTGTACAGACTTTTCTAGTCTTCTGACTTCAAGCACTTTTAACAGGTCACACCTACACATTCACACACTGATGGGCACAGGTTGCTATATAAAGTGTCTGTTAGTATTAAATAATGCCCAAGGACACATTGGACATTTTTTTTTCTTCGTCAACGGGCGCTGAGAGTCGGCAGCCTGTTGCAGCAGCTCTGACACGTTTTTCTTTATTTCGTCTATTTTCTTTCGTCTATATTTTTGCACTGTTTCATCATTCATTTTGTACTTGCAATACCCCCTATTTTCATTTATCTTATCTTATCTATTCTGTTTAATGTGTATTTTGACCTTACTTGTCTGTGCTGCTGCAACGCCCAAATTTCCCCTCTGTGGATCAATAAAGTATTATCCTATCCTATCCTATCCTATCCTATCCTATCCTATCCTGACAATTAACTGCAGGAGCTGGGTACTGAACCCCTGACCATCCAGTTGAGAAACAGAAGACCCACTCTTCCACTAAGCAACAGCCGCCCCATATTTATTCTTTCTCGTGTGCTGCAAATGTTCCAAAAAACAGAAAGAAGGGTTTTATTCTGGTGAAAATATGTGATCTACCACCGATAATTGAACTCCAGTGATATGTGAAATTTTTCCTTTTATGTCTCGAGACCTGACGGATAGAAGTTTCCATACTTTATGCCTCTTTTCCACCTACAACTGTATGCAACAATGGAGGACGTGAAGCCGAGGTCTACACCTTCGAGGTCGTCCATTGGGCGGTGCTATGCGCTGACATTAGCCGCAAAAAAACAAAAAACAGCCATGAGATTACTCTCTTCAAATCCACAGGATATTTAACCATGGGGTGATTTGTGTTTACCCATTATTACTGATGTCGCACAGGAAGTGACGATTCTTTCCACCAATAAACCGACTGCAGTGTGTCCAGCTCCAGCCTCCAGGGTCAGATTGGTATGCACCCCAGCAGATAAGTAGCAAAAAAGAAGGAGGATACTTTTGGTACCATTCCCAACTCTTGACAGTGAAAACACCAATAACTTGATGCTGTAGTGAACTAAACATGAACCGAACGGCCCTGGTGGAAACGTGGCCAAATAATAAGCAGGATCATGTACATTGTGTGGGTTTTTAATAGTGTGGTGTTCTTTGTGGGCAGAAGCTGTGACACGTGTTGTATTTCTGACTACAGATGAATTAGACGAGTGAACAGCATTTTGTAGAAGTGTTTTTCTAACGCAGGGGTTGAATACAGTGGAGGCTGTCTCCTTATCAGCTCCGTGGTTGCAAAGCAGCTTAGGGAGCGTTTATATTACCTGCACCAAAAACCAACATAATATTCTCATCCTTGGAAACATGAAGAATGACTCAACCCTTATGTAACAACAGAAATGCTTGATAAAGAATATCAGCAAAAGCTTTTTTTCTTTTTCACTTCACTTCTGTGGAAATCACATTTTGGCATGTGCTGCAGAGCTTTCTGAACAAGACTTGGGGTTGGGGGGTAAATTTAGAAATGGATAATCTGATGTCTTTTTTTTTGTTTGTTTTACTGGGTGTTTGTTTGCTGCCACAAAGAAGGCGCTGCACTTTTGATGCCTTATCAAAGCTGCATTTAGAATAAATATGAAGCTTCAAAGAAGAGAACAGCCAGTTTGGGATTTTGCAAAGCATTACCACTCTCTCGTTCTGGATTTCTCCCTTTTTTGAGGGTATCTTTTTTTGGGACGCGTTTTAAATGTAGGCTGAATGTGAAATTGTAAAAACAACAGTGATCACTCTCTCATGTTGCACAGGGATCGTGGGATAGATTGCAGTCGGTGGTGGTGTTGTCTTAGGCCTAGTCCACATGTTGGTGGGTATTTTTTAAAACAGAGGTTTTCCACTGGCTTACTTCTCAACATCTTCGTCCACGCAAAACGCAAATGTTACGCCTGTCAGGAGCACATCAAGTCAAAAGCGATGACCTTGACTTGCTCAAATTTTATCACCATTCCTCTCCGATGATCATTTTGTTTCCAAAGTTGTCCATTCAGGTGTCTCCGCTCGTCAACATAGTGGGAGAGTAACTGTGTGGCTATGTGTTAGCATGTTAAAAGTCCAGTTAGCAACATTAGCACCAGCGCTAGTTTGGCCACGTCTGACATCACAATAATCTCAAATTAAAGTGACAGTGTCGCACAATGACGTCAAAAAGAGTAGAAACCAGCACACAGCATGACATTACAAGCCCAAAATGCCGTTTTCCCGGTCTACACACAAACACCTTAAAGGCTTTATATGTGATTTTTCAAACTTAAATGTAGAAATCAAGTATATCCTCTGAAAATAACTCTGAGTCATGACTGTCTACAATGGGTGTAACACCCGAGTCCCACTGTCTGTGATGTTTTCAGAGTTTTCAGAGTCCTATCTTCAGTTTGTTTACATCGCCCGGACGGCCGGCTGACTCCTCCCCTCGAGTATAAAAGTTGTTTAATTGAGGGACTAGAGAAGAGAAGAATAACATACTGTACTCACTGCTTAACTGTGTTTCTAGATCACGCTCATTTCAGTGACCTAAAACGCTGTTTGTGTACGAAAGGAAAAAGTGCACAGAAAAAACTCAGTTTTCAAAAATACCCGCCCAAGTGGTGCTAGGCCTTACAATCACAGTTGAGTGTGAATATGTTAACTTTGACGTGTAACACATTTGCAGTGTTACAGGATTATTGAAGGAAATGAAGGAGTATGTGATTCCCTGGAATTTACTTTAGTGCAAACAAGAGGGTTCAGAATTCTGCCTTTGGGATAAAATATCTGAAAAAACGAATATGCTGTCATAACATTTGGTACAGACTTTTAAATGTCCTTTGTGGGGAGCTCACTACCATTTTATCTGCTGACATCCTGTTCTACTGATTTACTGCCACAAGATCCATCTTTTGCAACATGGGACTCATATGCCAACAATATGTAACCTTTCCACCTTAAAATAGCAGTTTACATAATTGCTCCCTTTGCAGCATATGTGTGAAAATGTTTGAGAAAGCGCTAAATGGTGCAATAATTGTGTGAAAATCTTAAGATTTCTGTTCTTTGTTGGCCCCATGTTGATCCATGTTTCTAACAACCTATACTGTACTGCACATTTATTACAAACTAGCCTACAACATGTTGGAGATATATATATATATTTTTTTAAGTGATCTTTATCTTGACCAAGTGGCAGAGAAGCATCTCCATGGATACGCCTTACTTTTATAGCAGGGTTTCAATGTAATGCTTTGTACTTGTGGAAAATAGAAAATATGGCTGTCTTTAAGCTTCAGAGGTGTTAAAATCTTTTGTTCGATCAGAATGATGATCCCCCTTCAGAGTGCGAGCTGTGAGACTGAGATTTAAAAGGCAGGATCGTGATTCTCTCAACAAATAAGACATTTTAACGGTGTGTCAGTCTGTTGCAGCGCAGATGCTGCCTGACTTCTCCTCTCTCACATCTGGCTGACAATTCATCAATACATGTATCTACTGCTATCAAGCTCTCGTGCTGAGGCTGACAAATTGTTACTTTTTATATGACAGAAGTCTTGTATTCGTGGATGTCTGGCAGTAAAACGCTCTTTTTTTCACTTTCATGGCAATTAATTTACAACTGAAATAAAAAGCTTCATAAACTTTGCAGCTGTTCATGTATCGTGCTGTCATTCACCAATTTGGGCTTGTCCAAAAATCACCCTTGTCTGTTAAACCCCTTTTTAAATTGATAGGGGGTGTTAATGGGTCCCATGATGGCTGTGATGTGCAACTCTGCATAGCTAGACTTTTTCTTCCAACGCTGTATTTTTCTAATTTGCAAATACGAGCTGCTCTGCAGAGCATCACACTCAAAAGTTTGAATTATTGGACCTCTGGAATGAGAATATTTTTCACTTTTTTGTGTTTGTTTGTTTTTTTGGCTGGTTCTGATGTAGGATAAATGTAAAGAGGTGGGAAGGATATGTTTTCAATAAAGAAACACGGGATATTTTGAAGGATGTGTATATATTATAAGGTGTGTATATATTCTATCTGACTAAATATTTATTGTACCTATTATTGATATCTTACTTACATTCCTATTCTATTTGATTAATATATTTATACTGCTATATTGTAAATTTTGGAGCAACTGTAAAAATCAAATTGCCCTCTGGGATTAATAAAGTATTTCTGATTCTGGATGCCCCATTTAAATTGTTTTCTAAAAAAAGTGTATTTTGACATGTCAGACTTTATCAATTTATGCTTAGATAGCTGTAGATGAACTCAGTATCACATCAGTTAAGATTTCTAACATACAGGTAACTACACCATGTCATTAATGCTTTTACTGTAGGCATTTATGTTTCTGCTGAACATATCTCTGTCATAAAAGATTAGACTCCCTTTAATAGAAAGAGTAAATACAATATCAATTACAAAGCATAAGTTTTAAATAATGTGTTTTTCATTACAGCTAAAGCTGTCAAAATAATTCCTATCCGCCTTGAACGCATCACAGAGCATCGTCCCATCACTCTTTGGTATTTGTAGTTCTCTGAAACTCGCACGGCCGTGTTTCACCCACCACCGCGCGCATTTTATAAACTCCATTTCCCACAATGCAAAGCGAGCATTCCGAAGAGCGTGGAAGGTGAGTGTGTGCAGCATTTGTGCGATGTGTGAACGTGCTGTCAGGAGTACTGAGCAGTTTTCTGTGAGACATTCAGCGGTGTTAAAAAAAGAAGACGTGACCCTCTTTGTTGTCGATGTTTTCGCGGCTGTGACGAATTAAGGGTGGGTTTTCTGTGTGCATGTCAACGAAGACATCCGGAAGCATGTCAGTCGATGTCAAACGATGTAACACCTTGAAGAAAAACACTGCAAGGCGACTCAGTAATGCATAAGAACGGTTTGTTCCATGCAGCTAGACGAGTCATGCCTGCCTCCCCATGGAAGCTGCGTCTGAACACTGACCCCTTTACTTCTGAATCAGTGAATAAAGTCCAGTGAGGAGGAGGGGGAGGAGTAAACTATGAACGCCGAATTCTCCAACGATGCATAAATATTTGAAATAAGCATAAATGCATCATTAAGAGGTATTTATATTCGACAGAGAGCTAAACAAAACTGAACTTGCACAATTTTCTGAGGGGGTTTGGCGTAGCACTTAACATGTAGTTGCTTACTGTGATCTGGCAGCTCGTGGAAGGTGGATTCTGGATCCACTATTTCAGTGTTTTACAAAGTGGGGTCGCCAGAGGGTTATAGGGGGGGGAAACTTAAACAAAAACAAAAAAATCAATTTATTCTGATATTATTATATACAACACGATCATCTGTTCAGATTGATCACTCTTTATGACAATGTGGGTTCTTTTTCCATGACGGTCTCAATATTGTAAACTTAAACTTTTGCAGGGACACGACTGTGTTGAAAGCTACAATGTGGAGAAAGGAAAAAAAAAAAAAAAACCTATGATCAAGTGAGTGCAGAATAAGTCCTCCGGTCATTTTAGAGCGTAAACATGAATTATGTAAGGTAAGTGTAGTCATTGGAGACATTGTTAGAGTGCAGTGTTTCTTTAGACATAGAAAATACTCAGGCGGGCCGCTGATGTATATAATTATGCCCGCCCCGGGTTTATTTCCGAGCTTTTTTTCTCTGTCCTCTGATTGTACGATGCCCCTGCTGGAAATGCACCACTTGAGGTGCGGAGTCTTCTTTTTTTTTTGTAAACTGATGCTGTCGCAATATTTTTTCTGCGGCTGCGGTGATCGTTGTGATGAGTGTCATCATCAATAAGCGCTGATCCCCTGATGTGAAGTCAGAAAATCAAGTGAAACATTTTAAACGCGTCTCTAAGGTACTGCTGATGAATATCAGGACAGGCCTGTGTGTGTGTGTGTGTGTGTGTGTGTAAGGGAATGGAAGAGAAGGAAGATGAACAGTCGTTTGTTCACAAACTCAAATAAGTTGGAGAATATAGCACCATTAAAACATAAATAAACCCCCCCCTCCTCCTCCCCGTTAACTCCAACGCCTCGGTACATCGTCCTTCTATGAGAAACACTGGAATATCTTGACTTGAACACTTGAATATATATTTTTTAAAGACACATTTTTGGGCTTGTTATGCTTTTTATTGAGAGACAGGACAGTGGACACAGGCCGGACTCAAACCTGGGCCGGCGCTCTAAGGTCAACAGCTTCTCTTCTAGGTCACACGAATCAACCACTAGGCCACCCCACACTTCAATATTGTAAAGTTGGCCTTTCATATTGTATAGTGTGCTAAAGATCACGTCTGTTGTTTGTCCCAAAGTAGGCCTTGGTTTTATGAAACCGCTACATACACTGTTGTTTTGTTTACAGGAAGAGACTGAAGCTTTTAGAAATATCCTCTGGCTCTTTGTCTTCTGTGTTTGGAGTCAGAGGACAATAGTTCGATCAATACAGCCAGGAGGACGGCCAAGAGGCCCAAGAGGGAAATCCACAAGAGTCCTGGAGTCAGAGAGGGCCCACTCGAGCTCCACCTGTCATATTGCTTTGTGTTTTTTTGAGTAGGTGTAAAAAAAGAGAAATAGAGACGTTGTAGTTTTCGGGGGCAGGTGGCCTAGCGTTGGAGTTGTTTCTTGAATGGTAAGCAGAATGCAGAAACTGCCTGCAGCATGTTGAAGGTCCTCTCCTTGTTGAGCCTGCTGGGGTTGCCATGTTTAAACTCTGTTTAACCCTCAACAGTACCCAGCTTGCACTGGGATGCTTTTGTGGGTGTGAGTACTTTATTTAAAGTTTCCTACACTATGGATGAATACGAGGCCCTGCTCATCACCAACACACGTCTGCACAGCTTAAGAAAAGTCACGGTGGTATCTGAGGTCACAAAATTTGCGATTTTCATACTGTAGTTTTATACATTGTGCTGATTCAGGTTATAACGTGTATGTTTCCAGACGCCAAACCAAGAGACTGGGCGATGTCACACTAGTAATCGAAGCATTCAAGGTCCTGAGAAAAACTCTTATGAAACACATTTATCATTGAAAAACATATTGCAGCCAGTAAAGCATCAATAGTTACCGATTGGTCTCAATAATACTGCATCAAAAATTCTCCTACTAATCAGGAATGCTCTGTCTGCCATCTTGGATATGTTGTAAACGTTACGTTGTGACTTGTCATGACTTGTCAAAATCTCCAGCTTTGAGTGACACGTGTGAAAGACGAAACATTCAGGTGCAGGCTGTCTTAAAAAAAAAAAACTTCCTGAAATGATCCTGAGAATTTATAGAAAATTTTAATTTCTAGACATTTTCTTCTTTGCATGTGTGAAAAGGGCTTTAAAAGTTTAATATCTTTTCGCTACACAAAATATGATAAAACAAGATTTTCTGAAGGGGAAACTTGTTGCACAGCTAATACTTCAAGTGGTGCAGACTGTAACACGCAACTTAGTAGGCCTTTGTTGTTGTTGTTGTTTTTTAACTAGAAACTAATTTGTTTTAAGCTGAGCCTATTTCACTGTTTTTTTTTTTGTTTGTTTTGAGATGTTTCTGTAATGATGGTTTCTTCATCACTTTACACACGTTTCAGTTTCACCGTGGGACTCGATGAACGTGTCAGAAAACCAGGCTGATTGTTTTCACTGGAACATGCATCACTTTAATGTCTAACATCTCTCTGAGGAACAGAGGGCTACAGTCTTTATGTCGTGAGACTACATTTGAATACTTCTTAAATGCTGGATTTACAGGAGGCTGTGGGTGCTTGTTTTCGACTGGCGGTGTATTTTAAGTCCAGGAGTATGATCGTCACATGTGCTGTCATTAAATCAGACAGAAGAGGTTTCTCTGCTCTGGAGGTGGTGCCCCTGTGCTGCACACCCAGAGTCCTGGTTGATGGTTTTTTAACACTCGGAGGTTTACAGTTATGGTTTACCTCTTCCCTTTAATATATTCATTACCACTAGCTGTTACTGTGTCATTGGAAACCCATGTAACATGCTTGGGAACCTTAGCTAACCGGCTTAGACATGCACACGGTAAAACGTTTAAAGAAATGCAAAGCCAAGTGTCGCATACAAATTTACCTTTTATCACTACACTGACTGTACTCTATGAGCTGCAGCTTCCCTAAGTATTGAAAAAAAACGTCTGGGATTAAGCTCACCTGACAACATGGCCACATGTGTTTAACACCCTGCTATGCATGCATCCCGTTCACAGTGCCAGACAGATTGTTTTTTCCATATCTGAATTGTTTGAAAAGCTATTTTTGAAAGTGTAAATGGCATTTTTTTTAAATTAGATGCAATCAACATTTGCAGGTTGTTCGAAATGCAAACCTGTTTGGACCTTTTGTAAACGCTCTGGTTCAGATGCTCTTACAGAGCCTAAAGGTCTGTTTCCACTTATATTTTTTGGTGCGTGCACAGCCTACAAAACCAATGCAGTCCAGCGTTTCCAGCCCTCAGCATCCTTATTTTAAACAGTGCTAGCTGTTTTTAGCCTTTTCAGAGTGCTAATCTGCAGCAGCACCAAAACAAAGACGACTTCGCCGTCATTGATTCTGAAATGGTGAAACATTGGAGTCCAAGTCTATAAGTTCCCATTGCGTAATGGTGTCACAGAAACAGCAGCAGCTCCGACACACAGTGCTGTTCTCTCTCTGCTGGCTCTGCCGATTTCCCCCCCCCCCCTCCTGTAACGCCCCTGATGGCTGCACAGAGGTGGGCTCACTTAGTCCCCCCCATTACTCCTCTGTGACAGATACATTATATTGCTCCTTGAATACCGCACTTTTGTAGCTGTGCTCAGGGTAACATCACAATAGGACCCAATCAACGATATGTGGCCCACGATAACGGCATTATCCCCAATCATACAATCATACAATGATTACAATATCTGATCCACTGAAGAATATACATTTCCCTTTAAAAGGCAAAGCTTAATGTTGTTATCCACTGCAGTTTGGTGTCGGTTTCACTTCTCATCATCATGCTTCTTTCACCGCCATCGGACATTCTCTTGCTGTCATCCTCTTCTTTTATTCCACTGTGAACTTCTTCGTTGGCCAATTAACTTCAGTTCACCCTCAGTCACGTCACAGCACCACCATGAAGAGTCATGAAGTGACAACATGTTGACTCAAACTGCCAGGGAAATCTGTTGACAGTGCCGTATGGTTTTTAAACTAGGATAGCGACATTTGTCTCACATGAGTCAGGGCGACAATATTTTTCCACATTGATATGTCACAGCTCTAGTTATCGGTGTCTAGCTGCTGATTTGGATGGAGATCACTTACATTAGAAAGACTTTATTTGGCATCGACATCACAGAAACATCGGACGAACCTGAAGCATTGTTTAAGTGTTTTAGCATACATGCTAGTTCTCAACTCCTGTCCACATTAGCATTGAGGTCCAAACATCCTACTGAGCAGCTAGCATTGCTGTAGTCTCTTGCAGTAGATAGTGTCTCATTGAGAGTCATTATTTTCAACACATGCCTAACTAGGGCTAACTTCAACATACAGGAGGTTTACATTATTTTACCTGTGTGTGTTTTTCAGTGTCCCAAACCTTTATGTTTCATCTAGAATAGATTAAACTTTAATTTGTGTACGTCCAGAGGCTGAGGTGCTGGGAAGTGTCAGGGGGTTGGAGAAGACCAGCTGTTTTCAAATTAATTTTCAGAATCATTTCTTTAAAAAAAAGAAAAAAAAAAGAAGTATTTAATTAGCCCTCATTGGTGCTGTAAAGGATGCTCGCAGGATTTCTCCCTCCTAATGTCAGCCATCTGTCCATAAGGTAAAAATAGACACACATTTTTTGACGAATATTCCTCAATTCATGAGGTTTATGTGCTCAACTCCCCCTACTTATATTACTGCAACCAAACTGACGGACATTGCTATGATTCACTGCTATTGATAAGACATATGTCATGTTTTGTTCAGGCTGTTTTTTATAACTTTGAATGAGAAATGTAAGGGATTACTTTGCTTTGCTGTCTTACCACCCGGTGTCGTCTCCAGGGGTTGTCACAGTCTTCTGGGGGTTCGAGGCTATAATTAGTCTTCTTTGGATGTGGATGAAAACGTCTCTGCAAACGTGATAAGATAAGGGTGTTTTGGTGAGTGATGCTCAGGGGATGTAATGCACAGGTCTTCCAAATCACAACATGTTGTGTGGACTTGAGCATCAAGCAAGTTAATTGATTTATCCAAGAGAAAAAAAATAAAATCTCTGCTGCTATTTTTTTCTCGTATTTGAACCAGTGCTAATTTGCATTGATGCATGTAAGCCCTGGTGGAGCCAGCGGTGCATATTTGCATAAAGCATTAACTGTGTGCATCATTAGATCGGTGACACTGTATCCCTCGGATCCCCTGACCTGCTTTGCGTCATAACTCCACACGGAGATTTGTGAACAGGGGACGCATAATGTAAGGCAGCCAGTATCAATTATGCACCCTTTCTTCATGCCACAACAATACCTCGCACAATTGATTTGGTTTCCTTTCTGCCTCATGTTTAATTCAACAGAGCAGCGTCTGATTTCTCAAAGCGCTGTTTTTTTTTTTCCCAGCCTGCCCAACGTGCAGACATGTTTGCTGTGCATCATTCATGTCCCTGATGCACACAAGTTATCCTCTTTGACTTTGTTGCATGTGGGATGCAGATCCAGTCGTTTTACGTCGGCCTCGGGTTCCATTATCAACTTTAAGCCCTATTCATAGAGAAGATATCTACCCCCCTGTGAGGTTTCGCCTTCATTATGAACGTAAATGAAGGTGTTATGGGGGGGACAAAGTGATTGCAACTCTGTGCTGGCATCAGAGGTAGTAACGGAGGCGTTGCAGGGGCAAGACAGGATTGGGGAAGCGAGCAGCGCCGTGTGAGCATTTCTGCTTTCCGCGTTGAACTTGAGCGCAGCAGCTGAAACATCACAGGAGAAGAAAAAGACCACGCGGGAGACCTCAGGTTGTCATATTATGTCCAACTTGATGCGTACTGCAGCGTACTCCGTTGATAATAGACTTGCAGCATGTTTTGAAACTGTAGTGGCGCTGGTGGAACATTCCGGAGACGGACTGCGTCGCCCGCTGTGGAAACACAATGATCGACTAGAGTGGCAGCGAACTACGGCATGGTGTGCGGCGCTGACAGAGTATGCGGAAATTAGGCATTATGCTATGTCTATTCCCAGACTGGGACACGATATAATGCTGTCATGGTAGGCGTAAGAACGGCGGAGCTTTGTGGAATCACTCTGGAAAAAGGGCTTGAATAAAAGTGAAATGACAGTTTTGTAAAATTCAGCAGAGGTATCTGATTTGATATCTTTAAAATAGGTTGAATGTTTTATAACCACCCATAAAGTGCTCCTGAGATGACTTTAGAGGTCAGGTCTGCAGAGAGGATTCTCTCCCTCGTACATCTTAACAATCATGGCAGCGCTGCTGTTTACATATTCGTCAGAATCTTTCATGTCAGTGACATAACACTTTAAATTTTTCTTGGAAGTGGGATTTCTTTTGGCTTGTCCTGAAGCATTGCATTGTAGCAGTCCGTTTTTTAATTAAAAAGACATTCAAATTAGAAAACAAGTCCTTCAAACCCAACAGCAGCTATAATGTAGGTCGGGGGGTTGGCAATGAAACCCACCTGCAGGTCACTTCTGTCAGCACCGTGTTCACTGGGAGGCCCGCCTTTGTTTCAGATAAATAGAACTACATTTATAAAACTGTTCTGTATCGTCAGGCAGATGTTGTTTTGTCCATAGGTCATTTAAAACCGCAGAGGATATACAGCAGTTTGTTGATTCTACTTTGGAAAAAAGACTTTTATGTATATGTAGGCTATGTTTTTGTTTCTCTGTGACCATGGATAACTAATCAATTAAAGGTCAGTTCAAAAAGTGACCTTTTTATTTAGATTATTTATGTTTGTATTTGAAATGCAAATCATTTATTTCAGTTTTTACAAGACCATAGGATGACCATGAGCTCTTGTATTCTGAGAGTAATTTTGGATCGTGTTTTTGACTCCCTTCCAAACTCCCCCCTCTCCTCCTGTCTCCACACTTCCTGTTTCACTAGCAGGGACTGTGACAGCAGCTGACGCCAGTAAACATCTGAAAGCAAACTTTGGGCCGTCTTTCTTAATCGAATCATGAAATCCAGGCCTCAAGTAGTGGAGGTTCTTAGGTTGGGATCGTCTGTTGTATGTGGACTAAGTCATCAGGACGTCAAACCAAATGTTTAGTGACCACAGTTTTTATTCAATTAAGTTTTGGTTATCGCCCATCACTATCTCCTCCGTCCTGGTTCACAGTTATAAGAAGTAGTGACTTTTCAATGACAGGTCATAAGACTCCTTTTTAGAGGTGAGAAAATAATCGAATTATGTGAAAATCGAGATTCTTACCTTCTGAGATTTTAAATAGATTTAAATGGGCTAATCAGTCCTTTCCTGCTAAATGCTAATGCTAGCTCTTGCCAAATGGAGCAGCAAGAAATTCAGTCAGTCTCACAGATGAATGGAGTCGATCCTGAAGTATGTACTCATTCAAAAATAGACTTTGAATCATCAATCCAGAATAGTTTTGAATCAAAAAATTGATTCTCAATCGAATCATGACCCCAGGAATCGGAATCGAACCATGAGCCACCCAAAGATTACCAGCCCTACTCCTTACCCTTTTTTTGTGGATTTACACACAATAAAACTTATTTTTACAGCTGATGGAGTCTCCCCCTGCTGGCCAAAGGAAGAATGCATGTTTAAGACATTACCCAATGGCTCCTCTTTATTAAACCTACAGCTCTTCATATGTTCTGACTCACTGCAATACTAATATAAAAGTGTTTTAATATGATCATGCACTATCTGGCGTATGGCCAACGTGTATGTGAGGAGTAAAAAAAAAACAAGTCTCTCAAATTATACATGGCAATGTTGATGTCATATTTAAATTGAGATAGAAATAGCTGGAGGAATTAGTCTCATTTTGAGGCGCTGGAGTGCTAATACATATTTTCTACATATTTGGTGCTGTTGAATGTTTTTCTCTTTGATATATACCATGAAATATAAATTGACTCATATTTAAACCTTCATGTTGCCGGGGAACTCTTGCTTGTTCTCTAGTCGTTGGTACTGTGTGGAAATCGAAACAATAGTAAGTTGTAAAGCGGCTTCTCAAAATTCCTCTATGTGCATGCAAACTGCTGCAGGGCAGAGGAGCTGCCAAATGATTTTCACTGTGAGGTCGTGAGGTCAACGTCAAGGTGTGGACATCGGGACTCGGCCGGACCTCAAGCAGAATATCAATGCTCCGCCTCTCCTCCTTGGTGGTTCTCCCATTTACATCAAAGATCAAATCCGTCTTGCTTTCTCCTCCCACAGGCAAAGAGAGCAGAGCAGCCGGTGTATCCTGTGTCTGTCACAAACTCAAGCTCCCAGCTGCAGCACTGAGAAGTCACCTTTTAAAAGGTAAAGATTACACAGCTCAAACACTGCTTACTGAATGTGCAATTGGATTCTTTTAACCAAATAATTACAACTTGTGTGCTCTTGACACATTGCAGACACCATTGTTATAACATGTCTTAGAAAGATTGACCCCCCTATGGTAGCCATTGTTTCTGCACAATGGAAATCTTCTGTAATGATTCAAAAGCAGGTTTAGAATTTTCACAATTATTTGGACCATCAGTGCAGGCAAAAGCTGTAGCAGGAGTCATCGTATGTCTGGGTTTAATGTCAGGGAAGTTTCTGTATGGCGCACAGTGATGACAGTTTGTTGGCCAAAGTCATTCGGTGCGCCAATGTTTCATTTCATTACATTACAGAATAATCAATTGATGATTGCTTAACAAAAAAGATAAAGGGCTGTGACATAACTCCCATCCCATCCTTGTGAACATGATAGCTGTGTCCCAATTCAGGGGGTAGCATCCTTCGACAGCCTTCTTAACCTGGGTAGGCCGCTCAGGTCGAACTGAAATGAGGATTTCCTGTTTGTGTCATGGGCTGTTCCCGCCCTACTCTTTCATTACTAAGCATCACTCCTGCTGCCTAGCAACCTCAGGAGCTCTGTCGGAAAAATCAAACAGATCCAATGTTTTAAGGACCCTTTTTTTTAATCGTTAGCTTTTCAACAGAGTTTAACCAATGACTTATATGAAAGTGCAATCTTTGGCCATCTGGTTTGAATTGGCACTCAGTGAATCTCAGGATGTGTTGGGCCAGGGAGGATGCTCTGGATGAATCTTTTGTGACATGGGAAAGTTGGCACATTTGTCAGCCACATTTTGAAGGAGCCTTCGAAATGGGATAGCCTTCGACGTGTCGCTGTGACACAATCGGTCTTCATATGCACTCGTAGAAGGATGCAGTCCCTAAATTAAGACTTAGCAGATAGATCTTGTAAAATGTTCCAGTTTGGCAGAAGTGTAATCTGGGACTCCAGTCAGAACTGATCAGAATCAAAGCATTAGAGGTCAAAGGGTAAGTTCAGTGTAACCTTACACCTGTCCCATTTTTGTGAACCCTAAAACCAAGGCAACATCTGTGAGGACTTGTATTGCATCTACTTCGCTTTTGTTTTGTTCAATATCCGAGACAATGATTTAATCTGTGAACGCTTGGAAAAGTTATGGTGGTATAGAGAGAGGAGACAAATACATGTTGTCTCCTCTCTCTATACCACCATAACTTTTCATTTGCTGTTTTAAGAAGTGTCTAGTAACAGTGACATCCAGTGTGGCAGAACGACAACCTCCAAACAATCTCAGACCATCACGTCCAACTGTCTGGATTTGCCCTTTGGTATATAAGACACACAGCCATGTGACTGACCATGTGAAACCATGGTGAAGACCATGTTTAGGTACAGATACACCTATATGGTTGAAGTAATTTCTTCAGACTCATTACAACATGGATGAGGATGTACCATGTATACAGATAGAAGGGTGGAAAAGCAGAGAGTATCAGAGGTCTGTGAGTTGAAAGGTGTCATCGACACCCCACCTGCTTGCTGTGAACACCCGAGACAACTGTCTGCTGCGTTCACACATCGCCTCACTTTGATATCACACGGACTCGGTTCTCGTGTAGCCCGTTCAAGAGACGTCCAGACATTTTCAGAAGAGCTTTGTATGTGCCAAAGAGAATGAAGAGAGACATTTTCTGAAGTTAGTCCCTCCTCTAAAGGAAAGCAGAGCAATGTTTCCTGTGTAAAGGAAGAATGTGCGACTATTTTGATCCAGTAGATGTCGCCATTGAGCACCGGCATGAAATCAAAACAAACTGCTGTTTGGTGACACCGCCGCTATTCTGAAGCCTCCGCTCTCCTCCAGAGACACACCTCCAACCCCTCTCCACTCACGTTCACATGAAGGAGTTATGAATTGGAACACACCATTACTAAGCACAATTGTCCTTCGCTCGAGCTGAAATCAACTGTGGCCTGCATTGTTGTGTTAGCATGCTAATGTTAGCACACTTTGATTAGCTCATAGCTTCATATTGAACATAAATTGAAACGGAATGACCGTGATCTAAAGATGCTTATGTGCTATCCAAGCAGTGAGTATGTTCTTCTTCTTTTCTCTAGTCCTTGACTAAAACAGCTTTGTGCACAAGGCCGTCCCGTCCATGTAAACATGATGTAAACACGGATACGACAACAACACAGTTGGCGGGACTGGAGTTACTCTGTCGTCACCAAAGGATGTAAACTGCAACTTCAACAGCTCTTAGAGGCATAAAACTAATAATTATTGTCTTTTAAATACATTTTCTGTCATCATTGGTTCGACAGATAGCCAAACAAACATTCAAAACAGTCTTTCTTTGAATTACTACTTAAAATAATATGTGCTACACGTTTGAAATGTTCCTACTTGGGTGAGTGGTACACAATTGGCCATTACAACATGGCAACCCACCAGCACAGTGCTTCACATAGCAGTATTCATTCTCGGTGCTAAATTAATGCGAATCAACTGTGGTGCAAACAAACCCTTGTGAAGAGCTGTGAGCAAGCAAATGGCTCATTCATCAGTATTTGCAAGCTCGCAGTGCTTCAGAATGAAGTTTCTACCAATCCACTGAGAGACTAATTCCAACCCCATTCATTCCACGAGAAGTCGCTAATTTGCTGCTCCGAGCTTTGCAGCTATGAGTGCTGTTGAGGGGAAAAAATTCAAAATCAGATGTCATTCAGATTTCAATAACAACTAATAGCAATAGTCGGTAACAATCAATTATGTTCTTAAAAGTTAAGTCTCTTGTCTTGAAACGAAACACGCCTTCTTGAGAATCGTCAGAATATTCAGGAGAAAGTTTTTCACTCTTTCATCCGTTGTGTGGAGCTGACTTGCCTTCTTTTCCCTGTACCAAAGGGAAACTACTGACATGCACACCAACACTTTATATCAAAGCAGAACATACTGTAGGGCAATGACACCACATTGAAGTCATTAAGCCTATTCAGTAGAGGCACTTACATTCCTGTACTTTCACAATATGACTATGGAGGTGCGAGCTCTGTACTTTGTAAGAACTTTTCTAAGAGTATTTTCATTTAGAAGAATAATTGCTTACCATTGGAAAAATGTGTGAAACCTCTACATAGAGACGTGAGAGTCAGGATAGAATGATGAGCTTCAGTCTATTTTTCACATTATTGGACAAATCTTTCATTCTGAGTCACTTTTGCTGCGTCACTCTGAGAGCCTTATACTTTAACTGCTCCTGTTTGACATTGATAAATTAACCCCAAGGGATTCTTCTACAGTCATTCAAGTACCCTCTTCAGACTTGTGCACATTTTGGGCACTTGATTAAGAAAAAATGCTGTTTTTAACATGCTGCTTTTTACTAAGCAGCTTTCAGAAGCTTCCAGTTAAAGATCTGTAGACTTTCTTTAAACACTCTTTTTTTTTTTTGAACTCCAGTAACATATTTTTAAAGGTCACATATAATGCAAAATACATACACTATTATGCTACTCTTGTCTGTCTACCCCCAATAATAAGAAAAGTCCATCCTCTCTGTCTTTTGCCTGCCATTTGGAGATTTTCCCTTCATGACATCACAAAGGGCAGTAACCCTTCCCCAGGTGGGTGACACTCCCACAGCTAGGTGTTTGTTTTGCCCTCTGAGACTGCCTTCTCACTGTAAACAATAGGGCAAGGAGCGAGAAAACCCAAGAGGACCAAGCCCTTCCAGAGACGGGCGTAGTCAGACGCAGCTCATTTACATATTTAAAGGTACAGACACAGAAACAGCCTGTTCTGAGCAGGGCTGAAATTGAGGGGTTTATAGGCATGATCAAATACAGGATCAGAGTGGATTTAGAACAAGAAACTTCAAACACATGTTTTGGGGACCTCTGAGACTTTTTTAAACTTGCTTGAAAATAAGTATATGTGACCTTTAAAACATGTGGCATCCCATGCAAGTATTGCAAATCATGACAACCTTAGTGCCCCATTATGCCAGCTCATATTACAGCTATTGAAGCTAGCTCATTGTTAGAAATAATGAAAACGAATTACCTTTAGGGTCATTCATATGTAATGAAAAAGGTGTGGTGCAATAAGGAATATGCAGTAACATGCTTACTTTTGATGCCCTTCAGACGAGTCTATCCTGTTAGTGCTGCTGCTGCGGCGGTTCAAGTCTCTTGGTTGGAGCTTAGTGTACGTCAATGTCAGCACCTGCTGAATGGCAAAGGAAAAAAAAGACACCACAGCTGCCTCTCTGCAGATCCTAGCCAAGCATCATCATTTATTCACACTCAAGTAAGTGCCATTGATCCGTCTGGAAACCAAGGCCTTTGCTCTCTGACACATGAACTTGTTATCCTCTGGTCACACTTAATTGTTTCACTCCAGTCTAATTGTCACACCCCCCTCACACTGTGAATGGTCAGCTGTGTGGTGGTAGAAAGAAAAGCTCTACATCTCTGTTTTTAATCTTCATGTATAACAGCGTGACAGATGTCTTCAAGGAGAGATTGTCTGTCTGAAAATGTGGTCTATTATGCACATACTTAAAACGATACAGCGTTTCCCACCTCTCTATAAAGGCCAACCTTTCATTCCACCCTCGCCTGTAGCTGCTTGGAAAAGCTATTACTTTTGATTGACAACGTGGCATACAAGGTGGTTCTTTTTTGTAGCATAACCCAGCCCTGAGGTTTTGGCGGTGTGGGATGAGCAAAAAGTCCATCTGACTTCACTGCACAACACTCGACTTCACATCCTGTGCAATAACTTCGATATTGTTTCAAGTGTTTCAGTAGCTGTAAGCATGATCCATTTCAAACTCTAGCTGTGTGTTACATTAGCATAACATGAACAATACTTTAACAAAACCATTTTAAGTTGTGGAAAACATCAACTACAGTATACCGTGACTGTAGTGTAGGTGCCATTTGTTGATTACGTAGGACGCTCTTTGTTTGCCAATGGATTGGG